ACAAGCAGCTCATCATCCCATCACACACAGGCATGGTTTCTGTTAAGTTGTGGGTGAACATATCAGACAACACAGAGATTCTTCAAACAGCTCTTGTTTATTCAGAGGCCAGAACAGAACTGAGCTGAAGGGCTCAGTCAGCCTGCTTATATAGAGCTCCAGTAGAACGTAACGGTAGCAACTTTCTAAAACTATCCAATCACTGAACATCACTTTCGATCCTTCATTTGCATAACTATCTACAATATCCCCCTGCTGGCCCAGGGTGAGAACTTCAGTACATAACAGTTTCCAATTGTTTGGAAAAGGCCTTGGAGAGGAAAGGATTTAGATGGCTGTGAGGAGGAAGACTTTCAGTCTATACAACTGATTTTCATGGAGGACCACCACTTGGAATGATCTGCTCTGCTCATTAGGCCTGACACTCAACCAAGTCTATGGAGATTGTGGTTTTGCTAATAAAAAGTTAACTCCATCTTTCAACTGTGTGATTACTAATCCACACACCCCCATGACACAATGACAGGCAGAGCCAACTAATTCTACACTGGTTCCCAACCTCCTTCCTATTCAGTTCTACCACTGCAACACTGAGACTAAGGAGAAAGAACTAACCACCAGTGCCACTCTCTGTTCTGGTTGTAAATAAGAAGGCAGGCAGGCAGGCAGAGGCTGGCTGAAGGGAGACTGAGCTTGGTGGTGAGCCCACTCTCCCTACATACCATTATCTTGGGCTCTCATTGTTTAACCTTTTGTTATGATTAGGGAAGACCATATTTTTCCAGGAATGTAGATGGGGCAGCTACATACTGGTGTGAATACTTTGGCAAATAACATCATGCACCTCACTGTGAACTCAAATACTGATTTATTAGAGAGAGACATGCGAGCGCTGCCAAAACAGAACAGAAGATTACGCATTGGCCCTGTCATTTGTTGTAATATATGTTAGACCAAGTTGCGCACAATGTAGTGCGAGTCTATATGACATCAATAGAACGGACAATGAGGAACTGGGTCCTTGTCTTTACGGAATAAAACACACCTATCACGGCAACAAGTTTAAAAATAGTCTTCTGTAGAACAACTACAAAGTACAAAAGGGTGTGATACTATTTAATTGCCTTTGCTCATGTTTCTGTATTTGCTTCCTCCTTAAAGTAGATCCTTAAAACAATAAAGAAGAACACCTGAAGAGTCCCCTTTACCACAACACAGGGAAATAAGATTAAGTGATCTTCAAACAAAACTAATAAAACTCCTCTGTATACGCCTGAATTGAAACCACAGGTAGAAACATGTTTGCGAAAAGATCCAACCATGATACACGATAAATGTCTCCATTAAATATGCTAATTATATGTAAATGAATGTGCTGGTGCTATCTTTTACATCCCCCATTTCTATGATGTCTTAGCACCACCACCCAGTCCTAGAATGACCTGAAGCTACAAGGTAAAGGTAAGAACAAAAACAAAAGAAAGAGGGCCATGGCTTTTTTCATAGGAGGTACAATCAGATTCAAGTCCCATGGGCTTTGAAGGAGTTTTAATCCCAGCCAAACTGACAACTTCCCCTCACAGAATCCAAACGCAAACATTCCGATAACACTGAGAAGCAGGAATATTCATGAAGGTTCTGTGACATTACAGCAAGTACCAGGTCAAGCCATCAGTCACAGGTTTCGCCACCACAAAAACAATACAATTCAATACAGGTAAAACAGCTGCTCTGCAGGAGATTGCCTTCAAGAACAAGCCCTCTCCTGTGACTATTGTAACTGCCATCAAGTCAGCTGTCAGAGGGAAGAACTATGGGGCAGGAGCCAATAATGCTCCTGGATCTGCTCTGGGGGGGGCAAGTGCTTCGGGGAGGGACTGCTCTTTATCAAGGGCAAAACAGTCGGAACTGCAATTGACTTTCCCATAACTTTAAGCGCTGCCACTTTAAACTGTGCTTGAGCCTGGTTTTCCCTTCTCCCTCCTGTTCCTTTTTCCTCATGTGTCATGTCTCTTAAGATTGTGAGCCTGAGTAGGGACTATCTTAGAACAGGTTTTTTTAAGCTACTCTGAGAGTCTTTTTGGCTAGAGGGTGGGGTCATAAATGCTGTAAACAAATAAATACCACACCCACACCCACACCAAAGAGTAAGAAGAAACAGAAAACTAGGTAAAGCATTTCACAAAGGGTCTAAGTTTGGCATGAAAGAAAATCTGATACTGATCTGAAGGAAAACACACTCTGGCTCCATCCCTCAGTCAGAGATCTAATGTCCACTGGGAGATTGAACCACTGACCTCCCAGGAAGAACATCACGGCAAGGAGAAGACCAGCCAGACCCTATTCATCAGCTAGAGACAGAGCAGCTGTGGGGAGCTTGACTTCCCTTTTCTCTGCCAGAAATTCCACCTTGATAGCTCAGTTGGTAGAACATAAGACTCTTAAATCTCCAGGTCGTGGATTTGAGCCCCATGTTGGGCAAAATATTCCTGCGTTGCAGGGAGCTGATCCCTTCCAACTCTACAATTCTATGAATATTCTCCTCCAACTGCCAGCTGCCCTGGGACGAAAGAGCTGAAGGGAAGCAGGTCACATCCACGCATACAATTAAAGCACATGCCTTCCTCCAAAGAATCCTGGGATCTGTAGTTTGTTCAGGGGGCTGGGGTATGTAGCTTTGTGCTTTAAATGTACGGTGGGAAAGATGCTGGGCTGCATATCCATTTCTAATTATTTCTATAAAAAAAAGTATTGTTGCAATCCATTGTAAACTGCCTTGAGAGTCGCCTGATCTAAAGATGGGTATAAACCATCAACAGATAAAGAAACAAGACAGTCCTTAATGAAACCATAGCGCTTGTAGTTCAATCTCATAGAACAAAGGAAAGGTTGGCAAAGAATATCTCCAGCAAGGTGTGAAAATGCGCCCTGGGGCCTCCGTATATCCCATATTGAGGCAGAAGGCCATCAGCTATAGAGATTTTACAGATTTTTACATCAGTGCTCAGGTGCTCTTGGAAAACCCAATAGTGATTTAATGCACCATGGAACACTATCCCACCCCCACTTGCAAATAAAACTATTTTCAGCCTTGCAAGACAGCAGGGGCTATGAGAGAGGGGTGTGGGTGTGTGTCATTTGCAGACCATAGTGTTGCTGCTGTTTGCCATGAGGGGAAGAGGGGAGGTGGTGGAGAGGTCAGGGTGGGCACATCAGCTGAGCCAATCCAATCTGCACTGTTCTCCCTGGCATTTCAACCTGTCCCCTCCCAGTAAAGAGCTGTTGAGAAGCTAACACACTGGCTCCACCTGCACAGGCAAGAGGCTAATGGCTGCATCCCAGTCTGATGGGAAGAACATTCTGGACAGAAGACCAAGGACACCAGGTATGGCACATGCTTCCATACAAGCAAAAACAAGCAGCAAGAAAATATCAGCCAGGTCCCAAGAGGCTACAAGCCAAATGTCTATATACAACTCACTACTTCATCCAGGCACTGGCAAACTGATCATCTTCACCTACCTTTCCCCTCTACTCCCCCCTTCTACTCCACCTTCCCTTTCTGTTTTCTGCCTTCTTCTTAGTCCACAAACCTGAGGGCTGAGCCTTTGCCTCCCTTATTGCTTTGGGAGGCAAATATAACAAACTTTTATTCATGCAACCAATCGCTATGAACCAGTTCGAACCTAGCTGACAAACCAAAACCCAAGTGGTTTGGAATGAAGTCAAGCATTGCATGAGCCGGCTTTCAGTAGGAGACTTTTCATCAAAGGATGTGGTCATAGAGGGGGCATAGAGTTGGGAAGGGAAGTGGGCCTATCCCTGTGCACGATCAGTAACAGCCTGGATGATGAGACAGAGCCACTGGCATTGTTGCAGGTTGCCTGGTTGGTGCTGGGGAGGGCAGGGGGTGGTGGCCGGTTTGGGGATGCCAGGGTGCCCTGGCAGGAGTGGTAGACTGGCTTTATCACAGCGCCAATCAAGGATCTTTGATCTCACTGCCACCCTGTCCCGTCTCAGCTTCATCCAGGTAAGTTGCATCGACACCAGTGTCAGGTGCAGCTCTGCCCCCACCACACAAGCTCCTACTGCCCCCCAGTGACTCTGTCCTCACTGGCGCCACCCTGAACGTCCCACAGTGAGTGAGAAGATGAAGGGGGATTCTTTGTGGATTTGGCTGGATGTGCTAAGAATCCTCCATGTGACTGGGAACCCACATAATGTAGGGTTTCCGATTATAGGGGGAGGACTGCAAGCATGTCCACCCAAACAAAGGAAACCCTCCTTCAGACATTCCTGTTCAATGCAGGAAGGTCATAGGTACCATCGGTGAGGATGGAGATCTTGGGAGCAAGGCTGGCACATGCAGAATCACATCCCCTTCAAACTTTATACTTCCACGCAGTGCTATTTCTCTAGAAAAAGAGGTGCCGGAACTCACAATGAATGCCTCCCTTATTCTCTCATAATGACAATGATGCCCACCTGAGAGGTGTCAGAACTGAGTTCTGGCATGTTCCAGCTGGAAAAAAGCCCCACTTCCATGCATTCTTCGAACAAATGAACAGGGCTCAGGTTTCTTACAAAAGGCCAACCATTTTTCTTCCTTGAAGAAGACCTTGGGCCATAAGAGACCATGTATAAAAAACACAAACCAGCTTGTCAATGAGAATATATCAACGAGGTCAAAATGGTTTCTCAGTGACCCATCAAACAACTGTGATGAGGGCGGGGAAGGCCTTGACAGAAGGCAGAGTCTAGCTTCACTGCCGAAATATAATTGCGCTAATTGGACTTGCATTAACCCAAACGGCAAAGCCAGTGATTGAGAGAACCCTGTTACGCAGCTGTCGCTCCACACAAAAGAACAGAGGAATGGATGGTGCACAAATGAGTTGGGAGAACGCATCAACAACCTCAGCTTCCATTTCTCTAACAACATGGAACTGGCAATGTGAATTTATTACACAACACACAGTGTTAGAAACCGAGATATGAAAGCTAGGAGCTAAACAGCACCTTAAACTTAGGTTATGGGCACAACAACGGAATGTCTAGGCGTGCTGTTTTATAACAAGAATACAAAGCTGAAAATGAATGAACTGCAGCTTAAATATTATGTTAATTTTTCATATGGTCTAGTCCTTCCCCTGCCCACCCCACTAATATTCTTAAGAGAGTCTCTTCTCCAGCCTTCAGAGAGTAGCGGGAAGTCGGGAGACAGAAAAAGGTCCTCCTTTCCTTCCACTCTGCAGTTTTAATCTGAAATCTTAGGTGCAGTACTTTGCCCAGAGCTCAGAAACTGCTCAAGCTAATGAAATTCCGTGTCACAAAATGCGCCTAGAACAATGGGAGTTTCGAACACTGGCAACACAAGCTCATGAGGGATTTCTTTATTCAAAAGGAAATATTTCAAGGGCTCAACTTCCTGGGGAGTATTTGAAAATTCTAAAACTCTTTTTTTTATTAAAACAAAAACAAAAAACACCTGCCAGTTGGTTCAGAACATTTGTTTCCATGACTCTGCCTTTGCTAGTAGAAAGAATCCTAAATACCAAAAATTCAGCGATGATCTAGATTCAACATTTCCATCTTCTACTCAGGAACATAAGGGCTGGCAACTGGAATTGTTTTACATCCTTGCCTAATTATATAATATAATTGATACCTATAATTAATGGTGTCATTTCAGATTCCCACTGTTAAAAAAAAATCACGTAGGCCAGCATGAAGCAAATACTTAGTTCCTCAGCAGCACCTGCTAGAGCTATTATGTTTGGAGTTCACCACTGTTTTTTGAGCTCTGGAATAAATAGAATGTTTCTATTTTAAACATTCCCAGGAAGATAGCATTGAGCTATTTGTACATTTGCAACTCACTAAAAGCTATAGAAGTTTGGGCTGCTTTCTTGTGTATTTCAGTTAGCTTTACGTTTCATGTCAGATTTCAGCCCAGAAAAGCAATATAGCACGTCTGCAGAAAAGATAAAATACCATTCTGTGCAGGCACACCAATTGCAACATCAGGTTTTCACATCCATTGGCCCTTAGCCCTCCCATGTTTACTCAAGGCAGGGTTTTCCAAGGAGTCCAAACTGGCAGATAACTTTATGCATCTGCTATCCCAGGCCCACCCAGCTTTTGACCCAGAAGGCTGTACATAGCTCAGCAGCCCTGTATGGGGCATGATATTCTTACTGTGTTATCAGCCCGGCACTTGGAGCAAGCATGAGCATAAGCATAGAGGAGTTGTAAAATCATAGAGAAGGCATGCAGCAGATGGGCTGAATTCAGGACTGGAGGTCAGAAGTTGGGCAGGACTGCTCTATATTTATTTCATGCAAATTGTTCTCTCTGCCTGATGCAGCAACCATATACATTTGGGCTGGGTGATATATCGTCCAAAACCAATTTGAAGTCCATATCATATCAGTTTCATAATTTTTGACCTGGCAATATATTATGAATCATGATGTGTGTGTGTGCTGTGCAAAAAACACAATGTGGGGAAAGCCGTGAAGCCAGCCAGTGCCTCTATATAGCATCCTTATGTCAGACACTATATATTGGTATATCGCGATGTTTAGCTGGTGATATATCACAATGCTGACAACCAGATATTGCTCAGTCCTAATATACATATGACCAGGCATGCACAAATCCACTTTCCAGCTTGCCCAGAGCAACATTACAGGTAGACCCTTGGTCAGGTATCAGCTGGAGTAGACCCATGGCACTAATGCAGCAACTTCCAAACAACTTCTGTACTTCTGAGTTCTGAGAGTTCCTTCTCCCACTTGCAATGTATCCACAAACTGAGTGTCTTCTGGAAGTTGTTGAGCTACAACTCTCATCAGCTTCAGTCAGCATGGCCAATGGTCAGAAATGGTGGGATTTGTAGGCCATCAATATCTTGAAGGAACCACGTTGCCCCCCACCCCCCGGGTCTAGATAATGCACAAGTGAGTAACCACTGCACCAAAGCAAAATCTGGGAAAGATTGTACTAGTTCAGTTGTATTCAGAGAGCTGCTAAAATCAGGCTGCTAGTCAAACTCCTAACAATCTCCAACACAAAATTAAAAAAATCCTTCCAGTAGCACCTTAGAGACCAACTAAGTTTGTTATTGGTATGAGCTTTCGTGTGCTACTGGGAGGAATTTTTTAATTTTGTTTCGACTATGGCAGATCAACACGGCTACCTACCCGTAACTAGAATCTCCAACACTATAGCGACAACTGAAATCCTGTCAAGGTGAACGCCAATATGGGGGTGGGGATCTTGAATGTTAGATAAATGATTTTGTGGATGTGAAGTTTACCCAAAGAATGAAGATAAACCAGCCAAAAGAAACAGGGAGATCACATAAAAGAAAAGAATACCATAAGAGCACATTCCTTTCCTCTAACTATAGAATTTCAGCCCGTATTATGATGAGAGATGCTTCTCCACAAGGCTTCCTCTGGGAAATGCTACATTCC